AAACATAAGAAGCATAAGGCCAAGACATTAAAAACCCATCACATACTCCCAATGACCCTGAACATTGGGAGGTTTTTCTGACGAAAGATCCCTCCTCGAGACAAAATGTCTCGGGGTTGGCTCACCAGACACCGGCGGTGTACCACCGATCGAGCGGGAACCAGAGGCAGAACTCTCCTCTTCTTGGTGAATGTATTCTGGCGTAACATCCATAACTATGGTTAAACAAGAGAGGGGAAACGAGAACTTAAGCAAAGGCTTCAAATTAAAATGGTGAAATACCTGACGCGAGAAAGAAGAACTCTATGAAAAGGGATAGCTGCTCAAAATAGCGGAATCCTCAAAAAAAAGGGAATATAAACTTATATATAGAGCAAGCCGTGATTGTCCACCTACCTTAAAGGCCAATTAATGATGACTAGGCCATTATCGCTTCCAGGGAGGTGCACCGGCGGGGTCACCTCGATCATTTCATGACCATGTCACACGATTGACAATATCGTATAGCGTTCAAGGGATCGAAGACCCCCGTCTCAACCTAGCCTCGAGATGGTACCCGATCTCGAAGGACCTTTGTTGCCATAACAATGAACTCTAAGGAGCTACCCGCATAAACCTAGCCTCGAGATGGTGCCCTATCTTGAGGATCTTTCTAGGTCCGAGTCGGTTACCTCTCGAGGGTTATTAATAAAGCCTATGTGCTATCTTCGCCTCCAGGGCTAATTAAAAACTCCCTCGGTTACTTTAGCCCATGGGCCATCCGAGTTCGAGTGTATCCTCATTAGGGCTCTATCTATAACGCCTCAGGGCTATCTTCATTTTAAGTTCAAAACTTTCAAGGCCACCCGAGTTCAGAAAAACTCTCACTCGGGGACTATATGAAAAGGCCCAAGGGCTATCTTTATTTTTGGGTTATCAGGTAATTTCATCCCTCGAGGACTACCAACGAGGCCTAGAAGGGCTAAGTTGTATTTTAAAATTCGAGGCCCACTCTCACTCAATTTCAAAGTCGGAAGTTCCGGCGGCCTAAGTTTGTATCAGACCGACCCGGACTTAGTCCAAGGAACGGCAAAAGGTTTCAGAAAATATCATATTAATCAATTAAGAGCCAAAGGAATACCTACGCCCGGGTCCAGTATTCGGACCAATCGATAAAGTCACATGCTCAGGTTCTTTGCAAACAAAGACCAAGGGAAATCCAGCACAAATCAAAAGCAAATTGAAGAAACATTTTTATTGATAAACGATGATTACAAGAGCCCACGAAGGGTCCTTACACAGAAATAAAGAAGCAAAAAATAAACAGCTAAAAGTCTAATCTGCTCTCGGAGGCGCATCCTCGGGAGCGACATCTGCGAGAACCACTCCTTCAGGGGGTCCCATTTCGGTTTCCAAAACGACGTCTTCAAGAATCTCTTCTGGAGCAGCCATAACTGAAAGATGGGTAGCCTATCAAAGAGCAAAGCTTTTAAAGCTAGGAAAGTTGTGGCTTGGTGAAAAATTTGGCTAGTATGGGTCTCGTCAGCACTACTATTGTGAAGCAACTTCTTGAGACGTTGCACCGGTGTGGGATGCAACAGCAAGTAGATGACACCGCCTCACTCCGGAGAAAGCAAAGGGAGTGAAACGCCACACCAGGTGGAAGTTAAGAGAGATGAGCAGCAGTTCACGGTCCACATATCCTTTAATGCGTGGATAATTCGGAGCCCCTTCCCCATTATTTTGGGACAACAACAACAACAATAACAAATCGTTACAATCACACTCAGTGGGGAAAGGCTTTGAAAGATAGCCTTGGCACAACTAGCAAAGCCATCGCCGTGTGACCATGCAGTCACAGGCTCGAACCATGGAAAATAGAGTTTGGATGAAGATGAAGAGAAGGAAAGGGTTAAAAGTTGTTAAAGAATGACTGGATGAAGTTTTGGCTCAAAAAACCTCCCATTTATAGAAAGGCAGTAGCGTAACAGATGGCGCAATCAATGCCTTTGGTAAATATATCGACAGGCGCAATCAATGCCTTTTTGGGAAACGGATCGGCGGCGATATTATCATTTTTAGGAAAATAAACCGACAGTGTATTAAAATGCTCTTAGAAAGACGAATCGATGGGACGTTTCAGTCATCACAAAGCTTGCGCCATACGCATGATGTCATCATGAGAGGATCGAGGAAACCGATACCAAGGTCGTTTCTTATTATTGTCATTCTAAGGAACGCGGAGACTATCTGTATACGGCTAAAATTTGGGAGTCTGATATTATGGTTATTATGGCAATTTGCGAGATCGTCTCTAGGAGACTCGAGGCTCAGCTCAAGGTTCGATCCCTGAAGGCTCTCGATGCTCGACCTCGAGATAGTGCGCATCGGCGGCACTCATAGGTAAGCGGGGTATTCCTAATGCACTTGATTAAGGCTGACCAAGCCTATTAGGCTAGTAGGAGCCCGTACCGTAGCATTAAATGGTTGTACCAGCCACACATCTTTGCAATAAATGCACTTTTACTATGTTGGGATCCCCCTCCCCCCTCATATAAAGGGGACCCTTGTCATTTTGTAATGGGAACAACATAATATTAAATACAAAAACAAGAACATTCTCTGCTCTCTAACTTAAACATATTCTCCCTTGATTCTACTGCTTACATTTATTGTGTTTCATTAATTGTTCTTCATTTATTACTCATTCTTGATCATAAAGAGCCTTCATCAAAGCTCTCAAAATTGTTAGTCCTTCATCAACTGCCCTTAGCTAAGCATCCAGCTCGACCTTGAGGCTCCGTATAAGCCAGCTCGAGGCCCCGATTTTCAGTCGCTTGGCTTGTTTGTTACACTATCTTCAAGCTCTTATCTTATTTTCTAATCTCTCACTTAGCATCTACTGCCTACCAACTAGCATAAAAATAAATTACGTATTTTTAGAACCACAAAATCAAATCTAGTTGTAATTACCATTTTCAAGGTAAACATTGATTTATTCTGATATATGTGCATAAATTTTCAAATTTTTGTGTTATACTTATATGTTGTTTTCATGTTGAAAGTTCACGAAGAATAAATAATCTTTAAAAATACTTTTGAATGCTTATTTCTTGCTTATGCCATGTTTTACATTTAAAGATACCAGTATGAGTATGTGCAGGTTGTTCCAGAAAAGATTTAGACTTGAATGGTCAAGAAAGTTGAGAAGTTGATTTAGACCCTAAAGAGGTCACACAAAAAAGTTTATTATTAAAGTATTTTTGGGAGTATCCTCTATTCTGAGAAGGGGTCATTGTCCAGGCCGAGGGTCCTGACCAAGGCGTTGGCTTCCTGAAACTACTTGTGCCAAAGTAAGGAGAGCATCAGTCGAGGGTCTCGTTGTTGAAAATTTGCCTAACTAGGCTAAGATATGATACATGAGCGCTGAGAATCAAGAAGCGAGTAGCACCTCGTGGATTAGGCCTATTCGATCAAGTTGGGATCGAACCCATGCCAATTACACGGTGGCTAAGACAGAAATAAGTCAGTGTAATTGGAACTCCCTAAGCATAAAGTAAAGTATTTTTTCCAGATAATAAAGAAGGAAAAGAATTTGTTTTAGAATATTCATAAACTATTTGTATGCAGTTCTTTTAGAATTGTTCATAAAAGCTTTATGCCTTCCGTACTTTTAGAATATTTTCTTACATGCATATTTCAGTAAGTCTCGTTCCTTGCTTTAGCGCGCGTGGGGGGGGGGGGGGTGGGGGGGTAGGGCCGTTGAGACTCACTGAATACGGTGGATGGTAGTGACGTTCTCTTTTGGGAATCTTGCGTTGGTCTACGGCACAACGTAGGAACCAATTTTATAAGCAAGCAGACTATAGGTTAGGACTTCCCTCACTTCCAGTAGTATTGGTGAGCTCCGCTTTTGTTCATGGAGTATTCATTTGAGTCATCCTTGTTTAGCTATTACTTTGTTTACTTGAAGAAGTAGTCAAGAAATTTCATGTCCTGAGTAGTGCATCAGTTTATCACTAGAGAGGCTTCATAGATGTAATTAGTGGGTTAAGATTTAGACATTTTGCATAATTAAATTTTCAGTATTCATTAGTTACTACGAATAACGTTTTGGAATGATTTATTTTAGACACTCGGATTATTCAAAAATATTTGATTAAAGTATTATCTTCTTGTATGTAATATTTGAAGTATAATAGTATTGATAAGCGCAGATGGTTCGCTCGGTCAAACTTAGCGATCGGGTGTCCGTCACGTCCTATTTGAAAAATGGGTTGTGACACGCATGCTATTCCTGTGATTTTAAAGCTTGTTACGGAAGAAAGCGGAAACCTTGGGAGGATCTATAACTCGATTCCTTGTCAAATTTGAGAGAAAGAATTGTCCTTCTGATTTCACCTTGTTACATATGAATTGTTGACAAAATTGTTAATTGAGGTTAATTAAGATGTCATTTTGAAGTTGTGGTTAAAATTTGAAGCTATTCGGTAAATATTTGAGCTATTTGGTGGTGTTTTTCGTGAGTTGAAATTTGTAGGAGACGAATTTCAGTTTTTGTATGACACAGTACAATTTGTATAATGGTGTAAAAGCACGGATAAACACCTCTTACACGTCATTATACACTTTATACAAGATCGATATATTATTTATTAATAAGTATATAATATTGTATTATGTTATATACCAAGTATATAAATATTACTTTTGCAAGAGAAAAACAGCTATATGGCTTGAAACTTAAAAATATGGCGACGTAGGTGCAATATGTTATGTTTGATTGTATTTTTGTGCAATATCCCCAACAAAAAAAAAAATCTTTATTGATAACCGATAAAGTGGTCAAAACAAGAGTAGAATTACATTATGTCAAACATTTTTACCATGTCTCTAATAATAAACATTTGCATTAGCAAAATGATTATTCAAGAACCACTGGCCATAGATATAGTAAATTATTTTCTTTTAATTTACTTTTCACTTATTACATAAAAAAATTATTTGAAGAAATGGTGGGATCAAAATCCACCACCACCACCATGTCCGAAACCAAAACCAAAACCGTGACCACCATTTTGACCGCCACCTCCACCACCTCCGCCGCCACCTCCGCCACGACCATGTGCACCTGATCCATGACCCTCGCCATATCCAAAGCCACCACCAAATCCACCATCACTACCTCCACCTCCACCTCCACCGCCACCTCCACCACCGCCACCAAGACCTCCTAGAATTTGGTCAAACCCTCCGTTTAAGTCAAAATTGGGTAAAAATGAATCCCCGAGAAGCTTTCTTGCAGAGGAAGTTTGAACGAGAACGCCCAAAACGACAAGAAGCATGAACTTGCATGTCATATTTGTTAACACTGCAGAGAAAATAGCATATGCTTTAGTTTTAAGAAAATGAGGTACTAAACCAAAATGAACAATATCAAGTAGAGGCGAAGCTAGAGCGAGTTCCATGAGTTCAACTGAACCAGAGACGAATCTAGAATTTAAACATAATTGGTTCAACTTTTAGCGTTCTGTGCTTATGAAATTATGAGTTCAAATTTAATACTTGTTGAAATTTTAATAGTTTTTCACATAAATATTTAGGAAAAATGACACTATATAGCCGCTCTCAAAATGACACTATATAGCCGCTCTCAAAATAATAGACGAAAATTGTATATCTTTTGTGTGTGTATATATATATATATACATATAATGTACATAAATATTTTAGACTCATTTTGAATCAACTGCCAATATCTATAGCACATCAACATAACAAGGAAGAGGAATATCTTACTTTGCTTTCTTGGTCTTTTTTTTGTGAGGCTGAAGACTGTAGTAGCCATGAAATAGCTAAAGTATTAAATTGTAAGATTTGAGGTGCTATGAAAAAATCTGCATAGGAAGGGATTAAATACTATAGGTAATGGCATGGTGTCAATGACAATTAATGGAAATACAATTAATGAACGATTGCAAAACGGAAAATCAAGAAAAAATGAAGTGAATGTATAGTTGAACATCAAAAAAGAAAAGAAGAGTTACTAAAGGAAATTATAACTTGCGTTTCGTGTTATTAATTGAAAGTGGAAAACGTTATTTACCACACTAAATGTCTTTCATTGGAAATCTTAGAATAAAATGACATTACTCCACATTTGAAATAGAAGAAGAAGAACGACATACCTTAGTCCCACAAGTGGAATTTGAGGAGGGTAGTGTGTATGCAGATCATACCCCTATCTTGTGAAAGGTAGAGATGTTGTTTCCTATCGCCACTCGGCTCAAGAAAGTCATGTAAAGGGAAGAATCCATGTAAAGAGAAGCAGCAACCATAATCAAAAAAGAAATAGTCGAAGCAAAAAATAAATAACAGGTAGTATTAGAAATCTAAATATAATGAATACGAGAATACACTATTACTAGAGATTTTCTACTGCCAGTGTGACTTAACATGCTATGGAAAGTTACTTCACCTTAACTTTCATGTTACTAGATTCACTTAATATGAATAGTTTCCAAAATTGCATTTTAAATTATCAGACATTTATAGGATAAGTCTTTAAAAGTTAAAAACTTAAAACTCTAGGTAATTTCCTCATGTAAGAATAAACTAGAATGATACTTTTAAGAAAACTTTTGTTTTGTAGATTTTCTTTCTTATTTTTCCCTTTGCTTTTCTGGCGATACGAACATATTCAAGTAATTGTCATTCTATAAGACCATGATGAAAACATGCTTTTCTTCTAGACTGAATACAACATTGAGATTTTTTTCCGAAACGCAATTAGTTTCTAAGATCACTTCCGGTCCGACCGAGAGAAGTAAACATGTAATATCAGGAGTTCAAATACATTCAATCTGTAAACTTAGAATGGAAGTTGGAAGTATTAACACGTTGAAATTAATTTACATAAGCATCATCTCTTTTCTTCAGTTGAAACTATAAACATCACAACTACAAACAAAGGGCAAAAGTCGACTACAAAGTTACGCATACAGAATGCTTGGGCAGAAGAGGTAATTCTTCAAACCAATACAAATAGCAAAAAATATATAAGGGAAATAAACAGAGGAACCATTTTCCACTACTCTCCTCTTGGGAATATTCATTAACTTATCATACACACAGAAGGCACATCAGTGTTAAGGTTCCAGCTTCAGTGAAACCACTCTACATTGCCTGTTACGCTTGGCCGTCTTCGTAAAGACTACAGAGAAACAAGATGGGGCCCACCACGGTTGCCGGACTCTTTGCTCCCCCTTTAAGCAAGCCACTGAAGACACGAATTTAATCAATAAAGATAAAAGGAACCATAAGACAGTAGCAAATAGCAAAGAAGATAGCAGTATTTTCATTCCTAAAAGCAGCAGCAGATTCATTGAAGCATTACAATAGCTTACAATTCTCACCCCGGGGAGGGGGGAGGGGGGGGGAGTCAAGTATTTCACTAGCTACAATTTTACAAATCCGATTAGTTGCACTAAGGTAGAAATTTTTAGAGAATGTAGAGAGTGCTTGACATGACGATCAATGACCAGATCACAAATGTGTCTGCAAAATTCTAGGAACTCAAAAAGAAAACAGATATAACTAACTAGGTAGAGGCTTACAGCGCCATGGAACATCACATCATATTGGCAAGTGAATAAGTCCCAACTTCAAATTTTGCAAAAGGGTTTTTCACACAACAAAGAAAACACAGGTGCTTCACCAATCAAAGCTGATTAAAAACAACATATAATGAAACAAAATCATATTTCTGGAAAGACGGACAAAGAAAGCTGTCAAACTTCACATCAAGAGAACGGAGAAGTTAAGAGATATGGTTTTGGTTGAGACAAAGATGAGTATAGGAACCTTTTATCCGCCTCAGCTCCTTACACAACGTTATGAAGTCTCCCCATTTCATGTGGCACCTTCTTATAAACCGAAGAATCTGTTCAGTCGTGAACATGGACATCCCCTCCAAATACTCTCCGTTAACACCATTTTCCTTGAAGATTTGACGATAGCTGCCAAGATTTATTTCTTCTAACCATAAACCAACATCCTGGCAAAACAAGAGAGGCAACAGAACATCAGTCATTGAATAAGATGCGTTCCTTCTTGAACGTCGCTCATTCATCAACCTCGTGTTTTTTTTGTCTCCTTCAATTAATAACACCTTAATCAAATGGATAGTGTTCAGAGCACACAGCATAAGAATTTGAGTTATCACAAATTACAACTATCCCACTTCAGATGTCAGGCTCCATTGTGCTAAAGTAGTGAATAAGTACGCCAACTCATCATACAAGGCAATTTGACAGAAGAAGGGAAGTTTTAGCAAGCAGGTTGTCTAACACTACTAAAGCAATTTTTTTACATAATAATTACATGAGCTTAAAGCATTAAAAGTATTACCCATTCACTATTTAAGTAGGGTTTTGAAGAACATAGAAAACAGATGATCTCATAGATCAGTCACTCCGATCCTCAAATCGGGCATTGCCCCGTCAGTCTATGGATTTGACAGTAGCCTGCAAAACATATCTTAATACGACTATACCATTTTTAGGTGTTCACTTTCCAACGCAGCAAGAATTGCTACATATCAGTGTATGCTTGCGCATTCCATAGCAATGAAATTTGGAAAGTGAACTGCCATGTAGCAAGGGAGGGACATATTTTGCAATAGGTGTAGCTTCGCCAGTTGGCTTAACCAGTAGACTACAGGAAAACATTTGCTTGACTATTTTGGCTTTACATGTGAAGTTGTAAATCCACTTGTCACATAACTGTCTACACCTCAGTCAAGGGGAGTAATGTAATTTTTCAATTTTACGCGAGAGGTAGAAAATTGTTTTCCTTCCAATTCATCTACTCATGGAATTAAAAACTGAGAGAGAGGACTGGCGTATAGATAAAAAAATTATGCTAAGCAGTACTAGGACAATTCATCTATTCATCCAACTAAAAATGTCATTCATGTAACTACAGCTTATCAATCTAAAATATAGATAAAATCCTATGCTAAGCAGTAGTCTCTTGAAAGAATACCTTGTTTAATTCATTCTCTCCAATATGGCCTTCTTCAGTCAAACCCCAGGTAAGTGGGCTTTTTCATTTTCTCGAGTGTTATCAAAAGGAAAAAGCGCAAAACAACTCTAAGGTCTGTTGGAGCTTTAAGCGCGAAGCACAAATAAAGCGTAGGCTTTAACGAAGAAAGGCGCAAATGGAGAAAAACCACAAATATGTATGTGTAGTCCAAGAGTAATATTTATAAACATGAGTACCAAATATATGCACAAAGAAATTGAAGAAAATTTACAATAAAGTGAAATATCAATTGTTTAGTGTCGCATCTTCAGGATTACGCTCATTGGCAAGGAAAAGTATGCCTTAGAGCCTTGATAACAACACTAAAGTGCCCGCGCTAAGCGAGGCGAAACGCTCAACATGTTCTGAGCCTCGCTTCAGGGGCTTAAGCTCACTTTAAGCGCGCCTTTGATAACACTGATTTTCTCCATCATATCTTTCTTCCCTCTATCAAAACTAGTTGATCAATACTAAGTTTCTTAATCTTATTCCGATGCAACTGTCAGATGGACTTGTTAATAAAAGTTGTGACACAAACATAGGAGTTGGTAGCTGCTGTGAGGGGCCCTTAGCAAAAGCCCTCAAACTCCACCAAGAAAAACCATTTTATATACGGAGGCCACAGGTGGCAAAACAAAAACTGAACAGAAATATGTAGCATGTAGGATACCAAATTCACCACCTCGCCTCCAGATAACCTAACTAAAAGAATTTAAGAAATAAAGATGGAACATGCCAGTTACCCACAGTCAGGTATAAGTCGTGCAAAGATGCCTAGAGTGAAATTTACTTAAACTTCCCACACCTTGGAGATTCTAAGAATTCACAGTGAAATCACACAGAGTTTGTTAATTTTTTTGTTCTTTTTCCCAAGAAAATAAATTCCAACAGATGGGACTTGCCAATTGCCCACAGTCGGGTAAATGATCTAGTGAGGCCTAGATCTAAAACCTTTAAACTTCACTAACCATTGGGCAATTCCTATTTACACAACTTAACAAAGTGCAACGACGGCTCTTCCCTAGTTCAAAAGCAAAGGAATGGACAACAGTTTCAGCTCCAATCCAAATTTACAACCATCTGTCCGGAAACATCAACGGTGTTCCGCTGTGCCACTAGTTTTTCTTTCTCTTTGCTTTTCCTTTTAAATCTATTTCTTTGTTCTGCTCTTATTCGACCCTTTGGTTACTCTTCTCATATCTTCCTAATGATCATAAAAAAGAAGACATACTAATAATTCACCTAATTTGATGCATTTACTATCAGTATTATAGTAATTTCTTTATAGTTTACCAAGTTCATAAAAGACTCTTCAAAATGCTCATTTAAGCTCCTCATTTCACACCTAATCCCTCACCTAGTAACCTACAGTATAATCTTTCCGATACCCCATCCATGTTCTCGAAAACTTTTTTTTTCTCTTTTCTTTTTATCAGTATGTTCTGGGCAAATTTTAACAGTCATGATTTTTAGTCCCTAGAGCAATAGGCATTGAAAAGAAGCTTCAAAGATTACACAGTCCAATGCCCCAGCTCAAAACTTCAACACCAAAGCCAGAGGTGATAAAATAATTCATTTTTTGACCACCCACACCCCCAAAATTCAAATAATCAAGGAAATTATCATACAAACCAACTCTAAGCAATTCCCAAAAAACACAACGGATTATTAAGAACATGACCATTCTACATCAGAAATGAGAAAACCCCAAATTACAAAAATAACCAATATAAAAGCACCACCATATACTGTAAACAAAATAACAAATTAACAGTAAACTCACAAGATCTACAAGTACTAGTGGAATTACGATCAATTTAAAGACAATACAGAAGTCAACTGGAAAGGAAAAATCCAAGTACCTCAACTGTCCAAATGAAGAAATCAAGTGGTTCAGGTGCCTTTTCTTTGCTTATCATCTCTCAATATCAGTACAATTTAATTGAATTTCCCTAAACAGAAAATATATATAGTAGATCATAAAATATATTATAATTCAAACCCCAATAATAGCAACAAAACAATTAGCTACCTGTAATCACTGTGTTGATTAGGGTTTTGTTTTGATACATTTGGGTGAGTTTGTACTGAGGAAAAAGAAAGAATTTTCAGTTAGCTATTCTTTTCGTGCTTTTTACTTTAGTTTAGTACTTTAAGCTTTCTTTTTTCGTAACTATGTGGGGCCGACATGGGCCCCACTTGTTGGTATTAGTTAGTTGCCGAATTATATGTTTGCGTCGTTCGCTTCTGCTTCCACGCGACTTTTCTGTGAGAGTTTAGCACGTGTGTATTTTTAAATAACAAAGGAGAACATTGTCTATGTGTGATTTATATGTCAACGAATTTGAGCCGTGGAAACAGTCGTTAATATATGTATTAGTGTAGGCTATTTACATCATACCCTTCGGTGCGGCCTTTTTCCGAAGTCTGTATGAATGTGTAATGCTTTATGCACGAAACTACCCTTTTGTATTTTTAAATAGTAATCAGATTGTGCTTTATATTTCATGTGAAATAATCGTGGCGTTAGGATTAACTTGAGCTTGAATGTCTATCAAATTTTAGATAAATAAAAAGAAATTATTTACATATTTTTGCAATATGTTTCTCAACTCACTTCATTAATCATTAAGCCACATCCTTAAGTATTATTAACGTAACACAAGTTAAATTAGCATGTAGGTTATGATATTAATTTGATTTGACTTAATTTAAGTATGGAAAAGAATATTAGAATAGTTAAAATTAGAGCAAACATCACATCAAAGTTGAAGCAAAAAACATTTAACAAAGAGCACTATAATATGGATTTATTTGATGGCTGATGGTATCAATACATAGCAATCGTTGAGCAAGATAAAAAGATTAGTATTGACTATGACTGAAATATTTCTCTTACGGTGTGTTTGGTATAAAGGAAAATTTTTTCATGAAAAATGAGTATTTTTATCATTTATTTTCCCTTGTTTGGTTGGTGAGTGGAAAACTTTTTCCGGAAAATATTTTTCAGTGTTTGGTTAGAGGCCAGAAAAAAATTTTAGGAAAATATTTTTTATGCTACTCTCCTCCCCCTCCCCCCCCCCCCCCCGGCCCTTCCCCCCAAGTCCCCATGTTTCTTTGNTCCTCACCCCCTTTCCCCAAGTCCCCATGTTTCCTTGCTCCCCCCAAAATACCTAATGTTTTCAGGACTCTATTTTCTTCAACAATTTAATTATTCTTTTAAAATTCACACAAACCCAAATGAACTAATGTGTTGCTTTACTTTTTTACGTAAAACAACGTTGAAATTTATGCTCCATAACTATAAAGAAAATACTCTTTTTTTTGTTGAAAAAGAAAGTATTCTTTCTACAACATGAAAATAAAGTAATTACTTTATTGAAATAAAAGAAAATACTTTTTCTATATCATGAAAAAAAAATACTCATTTTGTTGAAATGAAAAAAATTCTTTTTCTACAGCATGAAAAAAAAAGTACTTTTTTTGTTGAAACGAAAGAAAATAACTTTTCTACATCATGAAAAGAAAGTACTTTTTTTGTTAAATTGAAAAAAATTCTTTTTTATATCATGAAAAGAAAATACTCATTTGTTGAAATGGGGGTGGGTAGAGTGTGGTAGGGGTGGGGTGGATAGGTAGGTAGGGTGTGGGGGTGAGGATAGGGTGGGAAGGTTGAAAAAGAGTTATAGAAAATATTTTCCCTTCTCTTGATAGGGAAAACATTTTCCTCCAATTGGAGGAAAATGAGTTCATGAGAAATATTTTCCAAAACATTTAAGCCAACCAAATATGGAAAAACTGGAAAATAGTTTCCTTCATACCAAACATACCCATAATATTGATATTTTACTTTTTTGGGTTGTAAGGTCCTAAGATACTATTAACATGGTGTGATATTGTTTGCTTTGAACCAAACTCGTATGACTCTTCTGAGATTCAATGTGGGTGCCTGCAAGCTTCTTTTTGTGTGCGCATCTCCAAGCTCGTAAGGGTAAGCAAGCACCATCACTCAACCATCGAAATACTCATCCCTCGTCTCGCCGAAGTTGATTCTGATATCAGTTGTTGGACTAAAACAGCCTAAAGATACTCTTAATATGGTAAAATATTGTTTGTTTTGGGCCAAGCGCACACGATTTTTTCAAAAGACCTTACTAAGAGATCCATATACCTTGTATAGGCTCCCAATATTTTCAGCTTTATTCGCACATCTAATATACTTGAATCTAAGTTGCTGAAAATGCAATGAACTGAACACAAATCATTCTTGGCAATTATGCCTAGAAATTTTGCTAGGATAATTGCAAAGTTATCAATGTCCAACAAGTATTAAAATAATTAGACAAGTATCAGTATCCCATACTGAAAGATCACAAAGATACGTACTATGAACTTAGACAATTATGCAGTAATATTCCAACAAAATAATTTTCTATAATTAAGTAGGATGAGAAAGGTCAAAAAAGAAAAGACAAGAGCATCAAATCATCTCATACAACTGATGTGAATTATTCTCAAATATATTAAGGATAAAGTTTCATTTCAATAATAGAAGAAAACCACATCATATCCACAAGTTTTTTATTTATAAATTATGTACATAAATATACTGTGGTGTGATATTTTATGAATTAAAAGGATAGTTGGGGATTAATATTTTTCTTCCCAAAATATCACACCAACTTAATTGGTATTCATAGCCATACACCTTGCATCTATTTGATGTATATATATCATCAGTCATCACGAGTGATTTTATTTTGTGTCCCATGCAACTTACATTAGTTGTGTAAGACCTCTTTTTATCTCACATATTTGTGGACCCATATCTTACACATCTGGATCCATACAATTCTGGGACCACACAGTTGTAAGACAAAAAAGAGGCCTCACACCACTAATGTCAATTGTGTGAGACACAAAATAAAAATTTTCGTCTTCATGTAACTCTTCAATTAATCATGTTATTTGCTAACAGCCAAACCCAGATGTTAGGAAGATGAAAAGAGGGTTAATTTGGACCTCAGCAGTCAACAAGATAGTGTAAACACACTGTCTTAAACTTATTTACAGTGGACGAATTACCTCCCATCCATTCTAGCTACTCCACACTGTCCGTAAAAGCGCCTACTTTTCTTTCTTTTTTGAGCTCTCACTAGGGCTGTCAAATTTGGCTCAAGCCCAAATGACCCGCCCAACCCGCCCAAGGTTGGGTTGGTTATTGACCCGCCCATTTATTGAATTTAGCCCATCTTGACCCAATCCATCTCAACCCATTTAAAGTTAGCTAATTTTTAGCCCAAATTGATCCATGAGTAAGTTTGTCAAAATATCTTAGAAATAATTTTATTTTTTGTTTAATATTTTAAATATGACCATAACAAAAGCAAAAAAGCCTTATTTAGTAATTATACAATTTATAAGAAAATAACACATATTAATTAAAGTTTAATAAGAGTTGGGCGGGTTGGGTTATGACCCGAATTTTAACCCATCTTAGCCCAAGTAACTTTTGGGCGGGTCAATCATTGACTCAACCCATTTTGACCCGCCCAAAATTGACCCAACCCGTCCATTTGACACCCCTAGCTCTCACCTTAAGCCGATCTTATTCAATGGATTGTGACTTTCTCACTTGAGCTTTCTATCGAATTTCCAGTGATGGACTAGTGGACTCATTGGGAGTGAAACTCGTCCTTCATTTCATACCTCAATCTGGTGCCTATGGGTTGTAGCCCCATGACCTTTCCGTATTCGATTCAATCCTCTTTTCGTCTTGAGTAGTAATAGTAGGGGCTGCAGTAGCAAATGATATGAATAACTTCATGTTGGCAAGGATCTTAACCCCCCCTCTTCTACTTCAGAATGATTCAAAAAGAAAGATCTCAAATACCTTGAGTTTCTTTTTGTATTTTATATGTATGCTTGCAATGGCAAATGCTACAATCAAGACATCGCTAGAAAAATATTGTGAGAAATGTTGACTAGAAGAAAGAAATAGCAAGATACAGCAGTTTTGTAGTTAAGCATCTGATTTTTCTATAAAAACTATGCCAGAAACTAAAGCAGCCGATCAACAGTCCATAATTGGTTATTTATGATAAAATACTTTCTTTTCTCGTTAGATGAGAAACATAAAATTATACAGTGAATATACAAATATCACACCTCCATCGCCCATAACGAGTTAAAAAGTATACCTATAGAAATATAACCATGAAGAAAATAATTGAAGAATTTTAAAAGATTAGACGAATGGTGCTGAGCTAAGGAACTCTACATCTGGATAAGTTGATTGCTTTGCATCAGAATGTTCATACTCAATTTGCACCAATATGAACAACCATGTCAATATTAACATGTTTGTTTTCACCTGATTCAGATTTGGACTCTCCGACATGTTTGTTTTCACCTGATTCAACTCTGGACTCTCCAACATGTTTGGTTTCACCCGATTGAGATATGGACGCTCCAACATGTTTGTTTTCACCCGATTCAATTCTGGACTCTCCGACATGTTTGTTTTCACCCGATTCAGATATGGACTCTCCAACATGTTTGGTTTCACCTGATTCCAATCTGGATTCTCCACTTATGCCTGTTAAACTGAGATCAGGCGCCGCTGTAATTTGGCTTAAAGTCCTAAACCATGACATGTTATGGTCATGCTGCCCTTCATATGTTGTAACGACCATTTTTGGATCATGGGATGCCCTCTCCACATGCTTCTTCACAGGGCAACCAGCAATTGAGCATCTGTAGTAACTCCTATAAATAAAGGAGAAGTTGGCATTAGAGAGAGAGAGGAGGAAATGGAATGAGAAAAGCTGACAAAGTGGAAAATAAGAAACAAGGTATCAAAGCGACACACAAAGTGGAAACCAAGAACATGGGGACTACAGAATATAAAGATAATTAATTTGGGCAATTAGAAAACATAGACGATTGTATTAATACATTATGCAAGTTATACACTTCTATAGGCCCAGTGTCAAATTTCAGCAACTATGGTAATTGTTTGCAAGATATGATCATTCAAGTGACCATATATGTACTATAACCACGCTTGTAGGAAACAAGCATAGTTCTTATTTGAGAAGAACAGAAACTACTAGACTCGTGTCTGATAACTGCTGAGTGCTAATTGCCATAATCCCAACACCCCCCACTCCCCACCCCCCGCACAAAAAAAATGCAAAACCCCCAAAAGAAAAAGGGTTTCTTTTTGGCACGGTTGCATTTTTCCATGGACATCAAGAACATTGATTAAGAGGTTTTAAATTCAAAGTATATTTTTGCATTTTGGTATTCCAATTTAATACTGGACATGTTTGGTGGTATTCTATCTTCTTCTCTCTTTTAAAAAAAATTGAAAATGGAAATTTTCTGGTGTAATGTTACATCTGATTTCTAAAGTCCATGTTGGACTTGAGAAGACTCGGAACAATCCAGTTGAGAACGTGTCTTACCAGGGTAAATGGAGGATCGTATAGGGACCATAGAAAAACTTTTCGTTTATATTAGGACAAGATAACAGAAAAATTGTACTAAAAATAGTAAAAATAACTCATGAAATTTGGGAGAGAGGTAGTAGCATTATTTTTATTGGATGCATAATTGCTTTCATTTCTTATAAAGTTCAATCAAGAAGTTACAACGGAATCTGCCAGGCAACCACCACAGGTGCGAACCAAAACACTGCAGGTGCGACCAAAGCACCGCAGGTGTGATCATCTATAGAAGCATGGTTAGACTTCAGTGTCTTTCACCAAGATTATAGAGTCGGTATAGATAATGCTTCCATTTTTTGACAAGGTCCTATCCAATAATCTGGTAATATGATTAGAAAGGATCGCTTACCCAACTTACGAGAAAATTGTGTGGAAAAGTTATTTTTTATAAACTAATACAACTTAAATTAGAACTTAATAGTAACGTATAGGTGGATCTCAAACTTAAGATTCAAAAGAATTCAGACTAGACAAGAAGAACTCATTATTAGTTTATAACTGAAAATGTAAAATTCAATTTTAAACTTAAAAGTCATATACTCTTAACAGCGGCAAGCAACATTTAGATAGTTTTTAGCAGTTGATGCCATAGCATCTAGATCTTTTACAGGCAATTGGAAAGTTCCAACACACCAACATAACACAAAAGGAACACAATTTAGAGTAAACTCTATGTTGCTTGGACCCTTCAAATTCTTTGCCGCACCCGTGTCAATCCAACATGGATGTGGGTGTGGGCCGGAGTTGGTGAACCTAACTTGGGTGCTTTGACTACACCTACGGCCAAGAAGTATATGATGGTATTTGGTTTGATTTTGGATTTATATCATACACATATTCACATAAAGTACTACAACACTAGCTATAAAGGAGATAATTTTATGAATAAAATATTAAGTGTTCACAAAGAATTCAGTTATTCTAGCTTTAATTTAATATATTCAATTAAATGTTAAAATATAAACTTACATATATCATAATATACATTTATTTGTTGTAAGTTTTATAGGCACACAAAATAATGACATATTTAATGTCACAAGTTCACAAGTCTTTCGTAGTTTTGTTCTTTCTTAAAACTTTGTGTCTAGTCAAACTTTGCCACTATTAATTGAAATGGAGGGAGTATGAATCACATGCTTGGATAAAGTAGGTGGATTATTTAAGTTGATTAAACTAGTATTTTTTTGATCAGGTAGGGTATCTTTACTACTTTTACTGTTGTTGTTTCTTTTATTTGGATATGTCTTTATTACTTTTGCTGGCAGGACTTTTCCATTCCTTTTTACACTATTTTCACCATAACTTTTTACTAGTGTTTTTTTTCAAACCGATTTTGAAAACGCTTTTCCTGAGCCGAGGCCTAACGGAAACAACCTCTTTACCTCCCACAAGGTAAGGTTAATGTCTGCGTACACCCACCCTTCCCAGACCCCACTTGTGGGATTAAACTGGGTATGTTGTTGTTGTTATAACTTAATACCCGTACCCATACTCCTCTACCATATCCCTGAATCCTAAGATAAAAAAGATAACTTTTTTATCAATTTTTAATTATGGAACGGTCATTTTTCATTTAATTGATTAAAAATAATGTATTCAGATCACCTTGTTAATTTTGGTGCACTCGAGAAGGAATAGAAGCCATCAAAACAAGCTAAAACTTATGGGAAATTGAAATGGAAGTGTGGGTCTCAAAGACCAAATATTCGCTCTTATTTAATATTGTCGGTCTTACAAGTGTCTTATTGAACTAGCCGTACACTTTGGTAGGTATCCTCCTATCATATAGCACTTCGGCAGCACTCCACCACTTCATTACACACAAAGTGTTCAAACAGTAAGGGGTTCAATGAGCTGGATTGAGAGAGATGTCTAGTGTAGCTTGATAGGAAATCTCAAAGCGATAATGTGATGCCTATGTCGGAGGGCGGGTCAAGCAGGACTGACAAGCTTCTGAAAAAGGGGTGCACATGTTACCTTAGGCGAATACCACATCGGAATGGGAGAGGAAGTGGAGGGTTTTATAAGACATGACACAAGCTCACATGGTACGCGCGCTTTTGGGGCTCGATGTGGCGTAGCCCGAAAGACAAACTTGTGTGCTCCTAGGTTTAAAGCGGACAATACATGCCATGGGCTTGGGTTGTGACAAATATGATTTCGGAGCCGAATCTCCCTCAGTACGATGGTGGGGCAAACCTCAGTGTCCTCGCTGAGGGGGATGGGGGAGGGGGGTGAATTGTGATGCCCATGATGGAGGGCGGGTCAAGTAGGACTGGTAGGCTTCTAGGCTGGCAAGCTTCTAAAGAAGGGATGCACATATCATCTTAGGCGAATCCCACATCGGAATGGAAAAGGAAAGTGAAGAGCTCTATAAGCATGACACAAGTTCACATGGTACGCGTACTTTTGGGGCTTGAGAAAGACAAATCCGTGCAAGCTTAGGCCCAAAGCGGACAATACGTGCCATGGGTTTGGGTCGTAACAAATATATAGAGTAGGTAGAAACAACGAATAATAAGGGGTTTAATTAGAGGGAAAATGGGTCTAAGAATGGAACTATGGGCGAAAGAATGTACTTACTAGAGTTTGACATTGATATTATGTAAAAGAATCTGCGCATCCAAACCAAAATCTTAAGGCAAGGGTTGGAGTAGCCCAGGAACATTATAGACCTCTTTTGCAACACTTGCAAACCAATATGTGACGTTACGTATCTTAACAGCATTCATTCAAATATATTGCTAGTATGTAAATTAGGGTGATAATGACTTGACCATAACCGAGTTAGGAAAAAATTGTATTTTTCCTTGATAGCCGAGAAATCTCAGAGAGAAACAGGGCATGATTCGAAACTCAATGGATAATGGACACGTCCCTAAAATTGTTTATTACACATGTTTTAAAGAAGAGAACAGAAAGGAGCTCCACTGAAACAACTTCCTTCAAAAGGTTGTCCATGTAAGAAGAGTGACATATAGTGTACCTTGTTGACGCTGATGGCAAACATTATGACACGTACAATCATGTGTATCTAGTTTGTGTGTGCATGCATAAAGATCAATCAGATGCATTCATTTAAGTTTGACCAAAGCCAAGACACATCTGGAGGCACCCCTATTTCCTATCCCACCACAAGTCTGTTATCCCCAAAAGAAAAGAAGAACCAATAGTTTTATACCAAAACAAAGAAAAAGAGGATTAGATATTCATGATACATATCTCCTTGGGAAAAACTCTGAAGCTTTGTGCTCAAACCATTGCACCTTATCAACCCTAACAGAGGAGTTAGAACATATCGGCTATATCTACTGTATATGACGCTTCTATAACATACTCTGCACTCCTATTCACTCCACTATGACCTATGTAGAGATGTTTTAAAAACATGGTACAAATAACTGACTGCAGAAACCATTAACTACTTAGTCATAGGGGTGGACTACATTTAGACGTACAAATGCACAAATCTTCACTGTAAATCTATCTTTCCAGATTATCAGTAACTGCAGGAGAAAAAGTGGAAGTGAGCCAAAAAAGAAAGATCCTTTTTCCACCAATAGTCTAGTTTTCAAAATTACTAATAGTTTCAACATTACATGTATTGTGAGATTACTGTGTAACAGCTCTGCGCGAAAATTCTGAGGATGAAAAAAGATAGTGAGGAAAGATAACACCTGATATTCAAAAGTGATGATAAAAAGAATCCTTGGGCACTGGCATACCAGATTTGCAAATATAAGTTTAAGAGTAATAATTATATGTACCTTGGATTTGGATTGCCTTTTACAAATTTTTGCCCATATTTGCGCCAGCGGTGACCATCGTTGACTATATCTACTTCGCTCACGGTCTGAACAATGTGCCGTGGTTGACTATGGGACTTAATAGGTGGAGTATCATCCTTAGCTATATCTTTTTTTCTGTTGCAAAACAATTGCATTAACTATTAACTTTAAGAGAGTATATAGACCTTAAAACACCAAAGACAAACACGGCATGGGATTTAACATACTGTCTTTTTGAGTCTGGACCACTATTCTTATCGACCTCATATTCTAATTTATGTGGCTTCAAAGGCGTAACCTGCATACCACCACCAGCTGATACAATGTCCAATGCAAGCGGGGCCTCTGATGGCTTACTAGGTTCACATGTTTCTCCAAGCACAGTAGATTTCTCGCCTTCAGCTAACAAATGTCACAAAATAAAATTAGTAAAGATTCTAGATCAAAGAAACTCATAATTCGCTCAGAAATTTTGAGTACCTTCTTCTGATGCAGTGAGCATTGGAATGTCTGGTTGTCTCATTTGCAAAGGGACCACCGATCCAGGGGGGGTCTGAGGACCACTTGGAGTTTTCGGATGTTCATGCTTCCCAATATAGTGGACATCTGTAATATGCCCGTCATGTGATCTCTCCACTTGCTTTTTTGCTAGGCAATTAGGGTATGTGCACTTATAATAACTCCGAGTAAACTCATTTCCTCTGACAAGCTTCTGACCATACTTTCGCCAGTTATATCCATCTTCCAATGGTTTTTCAGGTAACCTGAAGAGAGTCGTACCACGATCAGATGGCAACCCATGGCCACTACTATCAGGGTTTCGCCTCGGTTGCAACTTATCCAAAGTTTTCTCAGGCCTTATGGGATAAGTCACTAGTTGTTGATCAGATCGTGATACAGCTACCTCCATGATCTGACTTTGTATTTGATCTGAAGAATCTGAAGCCTTTCCAGATAATGGGGAAACCACTTTCTCTGTTACACCAGATTCTGATCCACATGACTTTGCATCTGAGTCTTTTGGTAAAATAGAAAGTTGACTGCATCCAGATACATCACCCTCACTCTTAAGACCCTGTTTCTGCCGCACATTTTCTGACTGGTACCCTTGTACTTTAGAAAAAGAAATATCTTCTACAATAGATTGTGACACATTACTTGACGCATCTTGGCATGTTGAAGGATGTGTAGTTTCCTCTTGATTACTTTTTGATGCTTGTGCGCCAACAGCAGGACTCAGCCTCTTCTGCAACTCACCAGAAACAACATCAGCTGACATTGATTCACAGCTCCCTTTCTCTTTTAACTCTGGGTTGTTGGTTGCAGGGTGAGGATCAGGGTCTGGCTTCGGCTGTAAATTCTCGGAGGAAACTTCATTTGTTGCCTCTTCTCTAGGGGTACCCATTATCCTGTGCAAGACCATCTTCGAATCATGAGAACCAAATTATACACAGTTTTGGCAGGGGAACAAAGTACAAGTATATGGGCAAACGAAACCTTATTCCAGTTATCGTGCTGTGCATTTTCAAAAATCAAATTAGCAGGAATAATAGATGTTGTGAGTTAACAGTTCAATACTTATCAATTGTTGAATTTGGATCTATTTGAACAACAACAACTGCTACTACTACGCCTCAGTCCCGAACAAGTTGGGGTCGCCAATATGAATCCTCACAATTTTTTTATTTTTTTTATAAGGATCCTCACAATTTGTATCTATTTGAACATGATAAATAATTCCAATGATCTGAGAACAGAAGAAAATAGCTGTTCATGGGAAAGGGAGCATTCTGTTGACAGTACCACCGACTGAATTTTTTTTTTTTTTTTGATAAGGTAAATTGTATTCAAAAGGGAGAAAAAACTCGCGTATACAAGAAGTATACCAAAAAGTAGAGAATTTACATCAAAACATGATTCTCTACAAAAGACGCCCAATCTTCTGTACAAGTAGGGTAGTCAAACATGTCTTACACAAAGTCAATTGTGTCACTACTTTCATATTTCATTTGACCACCAGACATGGGCTTTGCTATGTAAGATCAGACAAAAAGCTAGGGAAATTGTTGCCCAACCAAATGGCACATTCTGTTGAAAATTTTGAAGAAAAAAAAAAGAAGAAGACAAATATAATAACACAGCAAACTAGGAAGTAACTACTGAAAAGAAAACAAGAGAAAGCTGCCTTCATTTTGCAATTTACTAACTATACATATTTCATTATCTGGTCTTTTCTTCTAGCCAATTTCTCACTACTCAAGAAAACACCTTAATTAAGAGCAAGATCAATGCAGGTGGAACTGGGAAAGTAAACTTTAGCTGAATAACTAAATTGGGATAGAGGGGCAAAAATTATAGATAAAGGAACAATTTGAAGGGTTTAACATGATGAGATAGCAATATGTTTTAAAGCAATGATGAGATAGTAATATTTTTTTGTAAGGGAAAGAGTAATTGTCACGACCCAAATCCACATGATGGCGCCCAGCACATTACCCAACCCAAGTGAACCAAATCATATGATATACTCCGACCATAAGCATGAAAATCAATTAACCACGGAAGCCATTTGAAAATCATATACATTTCAAAACAAATCATGAAATAATACTCCCTCCGTTCCACTTTATGTGACAGATCAAAGTACGAGGATCAAACTAACTAATTCAGTGTGATTTTGGACATAGAATCTTCAAGTGTTTTTAAATAAATTATTTTCATATTAAGAAACTACGTAAAAAGTATCGTAAGTCACAATAGTAAATAATTCAAAATATTTAAAAAGTATTTTAAACACGGTCAAAGAACAACTCATCCGACTCTCCAAATAGTCATTATGTCACATAAAGTGGATCAAAAGGCGTTTATATTATTGAAATCACCATTTCACTACAAGCCTCATTTAGATGAAAAATGTTCAAAACTGTAAAAGAATAATTAATATTTGATTCACCAAATCGGGGCTTTCAATAACTAGCAAAAAGGATAAATAAAGTTAGCCTTTTGAACACCAGTCACATGCTTCAAAAAGACTAAAACAATTTGGAATTCATAAGGGATTAGCATTTTGCCGTAATTATTGTTTCTCACAACACTAAAAACGATGGTCATCTATTTTTTTTAACCAACAATCTCCAAGGACCAGTGGTACATGGTTAGAAGCTCAATAGATTAAGGGCCCGTCCCTCTACCTTCTCCACTAAAATAATAGGATTTTGTTTGTGGTAGGGTTCGAACCCCTAACATGCGTCTAACCCACACACCACGAGTTATGCTCTTACCACTGGACCAAAGCCCCGAGGCGACAAGGATGGGCATCTCTAATCAAGAAGCATAAAGTGATCTTTCTACCGTTTGAAATTGAATGTTGTGTTGTTTCTTTCTTGAATTCAGATTTAAAAGGTCTATAGTCAAGAATAAGCTACTAGATACAATCAATGAGTCTACTTTTATACTTTGCAACATTTAAATAATCAAAAGTGGCATTTTACTCTACAGTCTACTCGGTCATTGGAAAATCATCCATGCTCCAAACTATAACCCAATACTAGACACAAAAAGTAGCATATTTATTGACCGTTGTGACAAGGAGGATAACATTTATATTATTCGTAACTAATAGTTGTATTTCTTTAACCATGACAGCCAAGAATACTGCAAAACATATCCTAAATTTTCCTTTCATTTCTGATAAGGACTTAAATATTCCTTTCTCTACACGCTTCTTCGCCAAAAGGGGAGGAATGCAAAAACATTATTAAAACTAAGTTGAAAAAATAGTTAACATGTCATGCAAACTGTGTATTTTCTTTCTCGCTCTATTTTCATAAGTTTGAAGCAATCTTTGTATTAGATCTTAGCTAGATTTTGTGTGGGGGAAGGAAAAGTTCGTAAAAATATACAACTTCTTACAGGTGATAGTGCTAAGACGTAAAATTTAAGTAATTACTTGAATATTTCCCCGTCGCTGTACACAAGCCAAAACAATGGTCCATCTTAATTCTAGGTCAATGAATATCAAGAGCTGAACTATGCCCTCACCGTTCCTAACAAGAAGCAGACATTTGGTAACACCATTTCACAAAAAGATATCGAGGGAGGGAAGCAGGCGTTATGCTATTCTATGAGGATGCAATTGAAGAGCTTATGTATCGTGCATTAATGATGTTGTAATAGACTGCATGGAGATGAGAGAAGATGCTGGTAGAATATTTCTAACCAGAAAAGGGCACAAGGCAAATGGACAAGAAACCTCTAGATGATAATAGAGAGGGAATCCTATAACCATGTAAAACTCGGCTATGCTATTGCTATGACATGTCAGAAGTGGAATCGGTGTCATTGAAGAGTTAACTAAACTCTAGGCTGTTTCTTTTGGAAATTACTAGAAAAGGGACTTAGAAATCTAGGAAGTCTCTCATATTGAACCATAACCTAAGCAAACCGATCAATTTTCATGATCATGTGAAGCAACATGAGTTCCTAAGCTAATCTTGGGACAATTGCCAGAATTCATATTTAAGCATTGGTGCGCAGAGTTACCGTACATGTGCCGGTGTGAGGTAGCAGGCACCCGGAGGACTAATCAAAGTGCGCGATGACTCATATACCACCGTCATTCAACAACAATCCTATTTAGCAATGACTACATATGTTTATTAAAAAAAATGGGCTTTTTCCTAAAAGAACCTTATGCTCAACATCATCCAGTCCACCAGCCCTTAAAAAGGTGCAAAAATCAAACAGAAAGGAGAAAAATTTAGCACCAAAGCATAGCAAAATATAAGGGCAGACAGCTACATGAACTTAATAAAGAACAAGTCTTTAATCAGCAAAGCCCTAAAAATGTAACTAAATTCTACAAACACTCAAGAAAAAGAAAAAAACCCAGAAACAGCAGCATAAAAAAATACTAAAGAATTGAAAGTCAAATTGAACAAACTCTTACAAATTCAAGAACCCAAATTCACAAAGCTAATTTGTACCTTTTTCCTGCTTTATTTTGCCTCTATTTTCTCCTGGGAAGGTGGGGTCTATATCAAGAAGCTGGTCATTGACTTGGACCAAGTACTATATAGCTCACAGAAATAAATATTACCAGTATACAAAAAGTATGAGTAATTAAGAAGCTGAACAAATTGAGAAAAGGTCATTAACTGTGATGTTGAAGGAGGAGTAATTGTTCAACCTTTGGATTGGAGAGTCAGCCGTTGGATTTGTTTAACAAACTTTTTTAAGAGAGAGAGGGGGGGGGGGGTTAATCTTAATCAGGAAATAGACCATTGAGAAATTGGCTTTGTGATTTATGAGCAGAATCCTACTATTTTTACCTTAATGGGTGTCAGTGATGTCCCCTCCAAATAATGACACGTGTGTCATATTGATTGGACCACATTAAAGTCAGAGGTTTTTGTTTTTGACTTCTTCCTTTTTACTACTTTTTTTTGTTTGCATAATGACTCACTAACCGCTTAAATTTGCATCAGTTTGTAAAGTCAATATATAAACTCTTGAGTTTCTCATTTGATCACTTTTACTTGAAAAAATGGCTACTAATAAACACTTGTGATGGTGTGTGTTGTTCAGTTGCTGCTGACATGGATTTAATTTTTTATTTTATATAGCCACATCATCCATTTATTTACATTTTGTTGACACATGTATCTTCAGGGTCCCAATTTGTGGGCCTTGTCCTTTTCGAAAATAAATTTATTAAATTCCTAATTTTTTTTCTTATCTTTCCCTTCTTCTATTCTTCACCTCCTAAGCACGAACTGTAAACAAAAGCTCTGATAATGGAGACTGTAAACATAAGCTCCGATAATGGAGACTGAGTTCAATCGAATTCTGATATATGCAAGACATTTATCAAATTCTGATACTCCGTAAATTTCTATATAAAAAATCAATCACAATTAAGTAAAAATGTTTTCATTTCCATTGAAAGTAAAATATAGGAATTCTTAAGCCTGCAACTGTAAAGAGCAAGAAAGAAAATAAAATAAACGACCTTGTTGAATTGGAACCATTCGTAATAAGGAGGATCAAAAATACGCTCAACTTCAGATTTGCCTTGACAAGGAAAAGGTGCATCAACAAAAACAAGATCCAATTTTCTACAACTTGAGTTGGCCATTTGTCAAAGACTTGTATCTTAAGATTTGGCCACTGGTTCGAAACCCATGAAGACAAAGAAATCTGGGTTTCCTCTGATTGGTAACGTTGTTGGTCTTGACATCTCCTTTACTTCCCATGGTTATTGGAGTTTGATGTTGATATCTTGGAAGGAGTTACGCGAGTGCGTTGGGGGTGTGCTAAGGTTCTGAGCTTTTTCCTTTGTTTGAGTTGTGTTCTATGTTTTGCTAGAAGTGGCTATGGTAGAATAGAGGGGGGGGGGGGTGAAGGGGAGGTAGGAGTTTGGTAGGGAAGAGGGGAAAATACAAGGGGAAAGGGAAAGGTCTTTTTTTTAGTCAGTTGTGCTACTTCCACATAGGCATAGTCAACGGTCAAATGTGTTTATTCGTATTTATTGCATCAAATTAGAGTGTTCAAATGGGAAAAAGTGCAAGTTCATGTATCGGCTTTTAAAAGTCCTACAAGTTTAAGTTGCCAGGAAACCATTACGCCTTTTTTTTTTTGGTTGTAAACAGAATTTTTTTTTTTTTAATCTTAATCAGGAAATAGACCATTGAGAAATTGGCTTTGTGATTTATGAGGAGAATCCTACTATTTTTACCTTAATGGGTGTCAGTGATGTCCCCTCCAAATAATGACACGTGTGTCATATTGATTGGACGACATTAAAGTCAGAGGTTTTTGTTTTTGACTTCTTCCTTTGTACTACTCCTTTTTTTTTTCAACAAATTATATTAACACAAAAAATAGTTGGTATACAACTTTCCACAAAGAGACATAATCAACAAGTTCACGCCCCTTAGTCTCGAGTAGAAAGAGCAGGATCACCAAATTTAAATAACTTAAACTATATCGCGAGAAACAAATCCTGTATCAGGATCACCATTCCTAGGCGTAATAGAAGCAGCACACAAACTAGATGTCCCGTTGGGATCATCATTCCTAGTTGTAGTAGAGTAAATTAGGAACATCCCAAATAAAGCCCAAAAATAATTGGGTAATACTCAATATTCAACTCTAATAGATTCTCGAAATTACTATTTAATTTTAAAAATGATGCTCAAGCTTTTAAGTTAATTTTTGAATCAGTAACTGTGACTCAAATATTAGTTCAACAAACCAAATCCATTTGGGTGGTGAAAATTAGATTTTTAACAAGTTTAATTATGTGAGTTTAAATTTCGAATTTGATTTTGTGAGAAATTTGGAGTGGGAGTTATTTAGACTTGTTAGAAAGAGTATAAGGAGGTTGTATATAAAATTTGATGTCATTTAATGGAGATTTGCACTGGTTTTGAAAAAGAATTGCAACTGAAAATCGTGAAAGAAGTTCGTCTATGATAATAGGTGAATTTGACTACAATCACACCGTAAATAATCACCTTCTTGTGTAGTTTTATGCTAAAAGTGATGACAAAATGCTCTTATTAGTGCTTTTCATGATTTGTAGGTGATATATGTATAAGGAAGGCTAAGGAGCAGTTTTGGAGTTAAAAGTGATGAAAAAGAGGCCAACTGTGAAATTTCCCAAGTGAACCAGGCAAAACAGGCCGAAGAATTCAGCATACTGGATCCACCGCGGTCCCACCGCGACCGCAGCAGAACCGCGGTGGGAAGCAGCTGCAGAAGTTGTGAGAATTCGCGAGGGTGTTTGGCCGCGGTTCTACCGCGACCGCGGCAGAACCGCGGCAGGCGCAGAAACTTCAGGGACCAAAGTGTCAATTACGGGATTTTTAGACCTAAACCCTATTTAAAACATTAGACTTCGCCCAAGAGAGGATGTATTGATTTTTAAGGTTTCTTAGCAAGGAAAACCATTGTGAGAGAATACTCTAAACATCTTTCTTCTTTTCTTTTGATTTTTATGATGAATTCAATCTTAGTTTATTTTCCCATAGCCATGAGTAGCTAAAGTCCTTGTCTAAGGCGTTGATGGAACCTATTGGGTTATGAACTTCTTGTTTATGTGAATACAAATTGCTAGTTTAATCTCTATTTGTTCAACTTCATGTTCATTGTAGTTAATTGACAGGATCCTCAATTAGCTGTGCCTATTTAGTGTGCATAACTTGGAAAAGAGTGCATATTTAGGGTATTGTTGAACAACACCAATCCTAGATTATTAGAGGAATCTATAATTGTGGGTTTAAAGGCGGGATTAGGGATAACGAAGCCTTGGGTGTAATCTAAAGTGAATTGTGCTAAATAAAGTAAGCTAGTGTATCTCGGGAGAGTGCAATAGTAGATTACTGTGATTACTCGGGAGAGATTTGCGGTAAGATTAGCGTTCATGATTGATAGAGATGTGTGGGTAAAGCTGTATGAGCATAAACAGAAGGGATTCCATCAATAGGGGAAATCATTGCCTTAGCTTTTCCTCATAATTGTTTACAACCTTATTAATTTAGTTACAGCCATTTAGTTATTTGCAAGCTAGTTGCTAAAGGAAACTCAACTGAGAATTTGAATATTTGAGAAGCTGGTTCTGAAGACTTAGTGGGTCTAAAGATAGTGGTTGATAGGTTAACTCTCTGTGGATTCGACCCTGGGCGTAATACTCGGGTTATATTTGCAACGTCCGCAGAGTCTTTTTTATAAGGCATAGTTGGGCGTGATCAAATTTTGGCGCCGTTGCCGGGGAGTTAACGGAATTATCAATTTCCATTGACAGAAATACAAGGATTCTTATTGTAGTCAGTCTTCTCTCTACCAACTTTTTCATTGAAAATTTGACGGTTGTTGATCTGGGTGCGCAGGTGTATGCCTAGAAATTCTACGAGGACTGGAGAACTACTTGAAGGACTCTCAGACCCCGAGAAGACATTCCGGGCATTGAATCGTGCCAACAAGAGACTTCAACAATCCCAACAAACACACTAATTCGAAATTGACATGGGCGACATAAACGATCCCAACGGGAACGTCAGGAATGAGCAATTGGCACCTCCTGTGCCTGAGGGTGCACTATATGACTGGGCACAACCCACAGCTGACAATTTGGCCACTGCCATTATTGTGCCCGCAAAACAAGCTGAATCGTTCCAGATCACAAATAACATGCTACACTTGTTGCAGAACAAGGGACTCTTTTCTGGGACACAAACAGAAGATCCTCAGCAACACTTAAAGAACTTCTTCTCTATATGCAAAACTCAAAGGCAACCGAATGTGACTCCGGAAGCAATCAGGATATTATTGTTCCCATTCTCGGTGACAGGAGCTGCTCAGGTTTGGCTAAACTCGCTTCCCATAAACTCTATAGCAACTTGGGATGAGTTGGTCAAGCAATTTCACAACAAGTTCCATCCGCCCAACAAGACCGCTCAACAAATTGATGAGATTGTGAGCTTCAAACAGAAACCAATGGAGACACTACACGAGACATGGGGCAGGTTTAAAGGAATGTTGGTTATATGCCCCCACCATGGTGTTCCAGAACAGATGTTGGGACAACGGTTTTACATGGGACTGTCAGACATATTGAAGAATATAGTTGATGCTTCGGCTGGTGGGGCATTCTTGAGCAAGACTTGGAGAGAAGGTCAGAATTTGCTCGACAAGATGGCGCAGAATTCGGGTTGGACATCTAGGAATGCACCTATCACTCCAGTGGTGCACTCAGTGCCTCTTGATCCTTCTAATACAATGGCTGAAAATATGGCGACTCTTTTAACACAAATGAGCATCCTCACCAAAAATGTGGAGGAATCAGGGCAGAAGCAACAGGTTCATATAGTAGACACTACCAA